TGGGTCCAAGTGATTCTCTTGTCTTAGCCTCCCAAGTAGCTGGGATTACAGGCATGTGCCATCACACCTGGATAACTTTTTGTATTTTTAGTAGAGACAGGGTTTCATCATGTTGGCCAGGCTGGTCTCAAACACCTGACCTCAAAGGATCTGCCTGCCTCAGCCTCCCAAAGTGCGGGATTACAGGCATGAGCCACCTCACCTGGCCGACAGACAGGATTTTAAGCTTGAACTCAAGAAGCAGCCCAGACTGGGGATCTCCACTGGGAAGTCATCCTCAAGGACGTGTGGCTGAAGCTACAGACAAAGGGAAGGTTATCCAGGAAGAGTGAGGGTGTGGGATGGGAAGAGAGAGGGCCTGCAACACAGTCCTAAGGAACACTAGCATTTTTTTTTTTTTTGAGACAGAGTCATGTTGAGAAATACTGAGTTTATGGATATTGATGAATGCTGAGTGTATGATAGAGTATATTGTTTGTTAGGAAAAACGATGGCAAGGAAAACCTAGCTGACCCCCTCCCCAAGTGGAAAACCACTTGAGGCATTCCAAAGTGGCAGGACAATGTATAAATATCATCCACCAGTCAAAACAATTCTTTGAGATAGCTGACCCTGCCCCCATGGCTCCTTCATGGAGAATACCTTTTAGTTTGTCTGTAGTCAGTGGTAAGCTGCCTACTTGGTATATTTTTGAGTTATGAGAAAATACAGAACACCTGTTTGTTAATAACGATCACCTGTTCAGGGAGAATAAATGCATGGGTCAGTGTGTACTCAGGGCCTTCAGCCTGGAATGCTGTCTGCCCCTGAGGCTCTCAGTTCGGAAGGCTGCTTGCCCCCCCGGATAAACCCACTTTGTTGTTCTATAGGGGTGTCTGCCTCTCATTACCTTCAGTGCCACCTGGGTGTGGGGTCTCCTGGCTGAGCTGGTACTTGGTAGAGTCACCCAGGCTGGAGTGCAGTGGCACAGTCTTGGCTCATTGAAATCTCCACCTCCCAGGTTCAAGCAATTTTCCTGCCTCAGCCTCCCAAGTAGCGGGATTACAGGCGCCCACCACCATGCCCAGCTAATTTTTGTAGTTTTAATAGAGATGGGGTTTCATCATGTTGGCCAGGCTGGTTTTGAACTCCTGACCTCAAAGGATCCGCCTGCCCAGGCCTCCCAAAGTGCTGGGACTACAGGTGTGAGCCACAGCACCTGGCCCAGTTAGCGCTTTCTGTGAGTGCAATTTCTCCAAAGTTTTCAACTTGAAATAATCAATATAACCATCCCATGTATTAGGGGATGGCAGGTCCTTCACTCCTTCAGCTCCTTTGGTTGACCAGTACCTCAACTTGGCCATATCCACAGGTGGGGGAGGTCAGGAAATGTCACCCCTATTCACTAGGGCTGTGGGGCACATGGTCTCTGAGATGGAACAAGGCGGGCCAGGCTGATGGATTGCTCACAATGTCTGCTGGAGGTTCCTTTTGCTGCTCAGGGCCACAGCGTGGCTGGAGGAAGAGGCCCCACCTAGGAAGTTCCGCAGGGGCTTACAGTCTTCCCAGACCCAGAAGCACAATCTCCAACAGAAAGAGTGAACAAGAGACAGAACCCACTGACCCCAAACATGGCTTTATAGAAAGATGATCTTCTCCGAGGGGCAGGAAAAGGTGCAGGTTAATTTATATGGACAAGGCTCTCGGCGACATGCACAGGAGCTGGGCATCTGGAACCCGTACAGGTGGTACTGCAACCCCAGGGCTGCCCCCTCCAGGACCAGCTGAGCTCCCAGCTGAGCCACATAAGCCCAGAGCAGCCTGAGGCTTCCATCCCCTGGGGCATCTCTGCTGCTCTCCCCTCCCTGGATCAGGGCCTCCTCGCCTCCTTTGCCCTTTCCTGATTCTTCTCTGTGCCAAATCATGTGATACAGGGTGAAACCCACGTAAAGGGCGCTGGGTACAGCCACCAAGTTGACCTGGAAGACCCAGAAACGCAGCGGGGAGAAGGGGTGAAAGGTATCGAAGCAGGCAGCCTTGCAGCCCAGCTGCTGGGTGTAACACACAAATCCACTTTGCTCATCGCCATAGACTCCAGGCCCACTGGCAGCCAGCAGCACAAGGGGGAATCCCAGGAGCACGGGAAGCAGGAGGCGCCCCACGGGGTGGAGTGGCGGCTCTCCTCTGCCAGCAACTGCCTCAGGTACCTGCCACATATCCTGTTAGGGAGCTTAAAAAAATATTATTACACGTTATTGATCCATATTTTTTTAAGAACTCTGTTGCCCAGGCTGGAGTGCAATGGTGTGATCATAGCTCATGCATTCCATTTACTGTGCACTTTATTTCTATTATTATTACATTGTAATATATAATGAAATGATTCCACAACTCGCCATGGTGTAGAATCGGTGGGAGCCCTGAGCTTGTTTTCCTGCAACTAGACAGTCCTGTCTGGGGGTAATGGGAGACAGTGACAGATCATCAGGCATTAGATTCTCATAAGGAGCGCGCAGCCTAGATCCCTCGCATGTGCAGTTCATAATAGGGTTTGTGCTCCTATGAGAATCTAATGCCTGAGCAGGACTTTCTGATGAAAAAAAAAAAAAAGAGAGACTCTAATGCCGCTGCTGATCTGACAGGAGGCGGAGCTCAGGCGATCAGGTGAGCCACTAGGAGTGGCTGTAAATCCTGATGAAGCCTCCATCCTGCAAATCACCTTTTGATATGTGGTTCAGCTCCTAACAGGCCATGAACAGGTAACAGGGGTTGGGGACCTCTGCCTTAAACTATCTTGTCTCTCTCCGGAGGACTCCACTGGAGATAGTTCCCAGGTAGGCTGGAGGAATGACACGCACCGAATCAGGCAAAATACATCAATCAGGTATAGACGGGTATATGTATGTTTAGGTCCTCTTCAATTTCTCTGAGCTTTGCTTTTTAACCTTCTTTCCCAGTAGAATTCACTGTCCCAGCCATGGGGTTCTTCTTGGTCAGCAGAAATATTTAGTGTTTTCTATTGCCTTTGCTTACGTGTTTATTGATTCGTCCAGAAATTATGTATTATTTACCTATTGTATAAATATGTATATTTATTTATTATTTTATTTTTTGAGACGGAGTCTTGCTCTGTCTCCCAGGCTGGAGTGCAGTGGCCCGATCTTAGCTTACTGCAACCTCCACCTCCCAGGTTGACGCAATTCTCCTTCCTCAGTCTCCTGAGTAGCTGGGATTACAGGCTTGTGCCGCCACACCTGGCTAATTTTTTGTATTTTTAGTAGAGACAGGGTTTCACCATCTTGGCCAGGATGGTTTTGAATTCCTGACCTTGTGATCCACCGCCTCAGCCTCCCAGAGTGCTTGGATTATAGGTGTGATCCACCACACCCGGCCTATTTGTTTATTTTTTTTTTTGAGACAGGGTCTTGCTCTGTTGCTTAGGCTGGAGTGCAGTGGTGCAATCATAGCTTACAGCAGCCTTGACCTCCCATGCTCAAGTGATCTTCCTGCCTCAGCCTCCCAAGTAGCTGGGACTACAAGTGTGTGCCACCATGCCCAGATAATTTTTTATGTTTTAAAATGTAGAGTTGGGGTCTTGCTATGTTGCCAAGACTGATCTAGAACTCCTGGGCTCAAGCAGTCCTCCCACTTTGGTGTCCCCAAGAGTTGAGATCACAGGCGTGAGCCACCATGCCTGGACCTATTGTATGTTTGATTCTCTGGTAGGCACTGGAGACTCAAAAGAACAAGATAGGTAATATCCTATTCTGCATGGAAATCTTTTGACCTCGTCTTCACAAGCTGTCTTAGGCCTCCGCGTCTCTCTGAAATCTAAATCGCTCCAGGAAGTTTTCTCTGAGTATCTCAGTAGCCCTGTGTCCCTCTCCTCCTGCCCCACACCTGGCCAGGACTTGAGGCCTGCAGTTTCTGTCCCCTCCTTTATCATCATCCATGTCCCTGTTATAGGTAAGGTCACATCTCCTATTCCAATTTTCCTTAGCCCTAGTCTATTCATGTGGATTTTGGTTTCTTCATTGATCTGAAATGTTTATCTTTCACCTTTTATTAGCTCAAAGTGTCCTGATATTTTCACATATCATATGCTATATTTTTTCCTTTTGACTATTTGCATTTTCTTTTCCGAAGTTGGCTACTGTTCAAATAGATTTTTTTTCCCCAGAAGAGGAAAAGGTGGATTTCATATAGGCTTGAAAAAAATGATTTCTCAGCTTTGATTTTCAAATTGGAGTCAAAGTGTTAAAAAATCGTAGCCTTCAAATGTAGGCTTTCATGAAAGATAAGATAATTAACCCAGATTTCCGAAGGCTGGGAAGGATTTCCGTAAGGAGCCTAGCTTGGAGGACGGACTTGGAAATAACCCAGAGTGGAAGGCTGAGGTCAGGACATAAAGGAAGTTCTTGTCCCACAGGAAGGAAAAGCACAGACACAGGCAGGTGAGGCTTCATGAGAAGGTCAAGGTGAGAGCTCTACTGTGTCTTTTGGAGTTGAAACCTGTGCATGGCAGTTGGTGACTCCTTTGAGGAAACTCACTCCCAGGGACTCAGAGGGAGTCTGAGAACCCCAGGGCCAATTCCTGCATCCTTGCGCTGTGCCCTGGAGAGCTGAGGGCTCTCAAATAAGCTCTGGCTGTGTAGGCCAAGGCCAATGTGGAGATGTGGAGTGGCTGGAGTGGAGGGCCGGTTCCCCCAGGGTACCAAGGAGTGTGGGGAAACTGAGGCACAGAAGAGGTCTGGGTTTGTGTGAAAAAGCTTGCAGAGTTCTAGCACCTTACAGCCAGAGGGGTCATGGCCACACCTGTGGACATCAGCAGGGGACACCTGAACAATCCCTAAGGGACAGCAGGTCCAGGCCATGTTTGAAATTGCCCAAGTCAAGGTGCCCAGGAACCATGGCCTCCAGGGGAAACCAAGAATTTCAGATGAATCCAGTGCTTGGGAGCAGAACCAATGAGAAAATCCAGTCATATTTCTACATCATTTTATAGTTAATACCATTCTCTGTCATGCCAGACAAAAAGAGATGATTATTTATTTGGTTCTACAGATTAGACAATGGGGGGCAGTTTAAGGTGAGATGATTTTGGGGTCCGAGGCAGCTCACGGCAGGCATCCCAGTCTTCAGTCTCCAAATCCGCCTCCTGCCTGTCCGCCCACATGGCTGCTTGGGCCTTGTGGATCCATTGACGGTGATTTCTAAGGTTCAGCTCCCATGTCAGGCAGGAAAGGCGGCTACTGGGGCTGAGACCCCCACATTGCCTCCAGCCCTTGCTTCCTAACTGGCATCCCCGGGCACCACCAGGGGCTGGGCCAGGCTGCTGTGCTGCACATAGCAGGAGTAGGGGGCTGTGTCTTTCGGGGACACATGCACCACCACCCAGGTCAGGTAAGTGCCATTTCCACTGCAAAGAATGTCTCCCCCTGAGTCAGGCTCCTGCACCTTGCCGGCCCGAGTCCAGTGCACATCAATCTCCCGCGGGTAGAAGTCGTAGGCCAGGCACTTGAGTTTCTTGTTTTTTCCTGGGGCCTGGTGGCTGGTGACCACCACGGAGGGAGGAGCTGTGGAGGAATAGAGCGTGACACTGAAGGCTTGAGGTCGACTTCTCAGGGCCCAGGTCTCTTCCCACCCCCACCCGTGGATGTCAGCGATCAGCAGCACCTGCCACCCAGGACACTTTCCAGAAGATCAGGGAAGGCTGACGCTTTCCCAGGTCCTTCTCTGTTGGATCATGGAATATCCTGGCTCCGCTCTCGCCCAGTCCCCACCCCACCCACGCATTGACTCTTTCAGCAACAAGCTGTGAATGCTCCGTGCACTTCCCCACGTTTCCCATATCTCAGTGGGC